GGGGACAGCGTCATCTGAAGCCAAAGAAATCAAGATATGATCTCCTAGACAGAGCAGAAACCCGCGCCTCAGGGAGGCAGCTCACCCACCTTGTGGTGTTGCTGCCGGCCTTGCACCTCCTTCTCTATGATGGGGATATCCACGACTCCTGCTGAGGGCACGGGGGCACGGACAGTGATGGCCCTGGGGGTGACACACAGATCACTGCTTTAGCCACATTAGCAAGGGAGGAGAGCCTTGGATTCGTCCGCTTAAGAGGATTTCACACTGGACCTTCTGCACTAACATGGCCATTTCTAATGATCGGAGGGTCCCATGTGCTTTTCTTGGTATGGGGCTTACTTAGGCTGAGAGGCGGATACTTCTTACAAGTGTATCTTGTTTACTACTGAAGTCATATGTGCTAATTGTAGAATATTTGGGGGAAAAGATGGGGAAAAATTACATTAATAACATGGTCTTTTACTCCAGCCTTTAAAAATGGGTATGTATAGTAAATATAAAATTAGGATAATATGGTTTTGATTCTTGTTTTTCTTTTTTAAATAATAAAAGATAGCAGGTTCTGACCACATACTAAATGAACTATCAAATGAATAAATGAATGAACCTACTGAAAAATTTGTAGGACTGCTCCTGCCCTATTTGCCAAGCAGGTAAAACAGGAAGGAACTGTGCCCAGAGAAGTCACGGGAACCACAACCACAACTCAGTAACTCACTCTGAATCACTTTTTTTGCTGCTCGCCCTCTCGTCACATCACAGACAGGTAGAAGACTGTGTTTAACGTGTCCTTAAATTTATGCCTTTTCCAGGTCAGTCATGGAGGGAGTCCTCCTGGGTCCATGGAGGCCTACTGTAGAACCACTGACCCAGGAGTCAAAAGCCCACTCAGACACACTATTTCACACCCTGGACACCCAGCTTCAGGTTGGTGGCAGTCTGGGCTGCTGTCTGATACGTTTTATCATATTTAACCTGAGTTGTCACTAGACTATCTGTCCTAATGATGTAACGCCACCACTCGAAAAAGTTTAATCAGTAAATTCTCACTGGATGGGTAAGGCAATGATTTAGGTAGGTATTAGCTCCATAAAGATGAACAAGACAAAAATTCCTACTCTCAAGGAATTCAAAGTGTAATACGAAGATTCAAACAAACAACTTTAATAAAATAAGCCTGCTAACACAGTAAGTCAGCAAATGCTAACCAGTCGCCTACTATGTTCTACTTCCAACTTCTACTTGCTACACCGAGTACTAAAGACCCTCACTAACTGGGTTCCGGCCTACCTTTCCAGCATTATCTCCCACCATCCAAACGGGACTGCTAGTCCTAATCCTCCGTGCACCTCACTCTCATAATCTAGAACACATTTCTCCATCTCCCCTATCAAATACTATTCATTCATGGAGGCCCAATTAATTGACTTTAACGCCTCCAAAAAGCCTGATACTGAGAATGGTTACCAATTTTGAACCTTCATGGATAATTTTCACAAATAACATGTATTTTATAGTCTTACGTTTTGATTACTTGTCTACATAATATCTTTCTGAGGTCTTAGGTCTCCACTATCCACAATCTCTTATTACAGTGGTTCTTAAATTTGATTTTGCACCAAATTTTAACATATAGATGCTAATCCCCACAATCACCAGACTTTGATAAATGGGAACCTGTGTGGGTGGGTCTCAAGCACACAGATTTTTAAAGGGCTCCCCAGATCATAAAGTATCTGCAAAATCTGTAATACCAAAAGGACTAACATCCAAAATATAAAATGAATACTTACAAATCAAATAGAAATTAATAAACCCACTAGAAAAACAGGCAAAAGAAATAAAGTCTATCCCTAGAAAGGGAAACTCAAACAGCCAATGAACACATAAAAAGCCAATATCACTAGTGCACAAAAAAACAGAAGATACCATTTATTTTACCCACCGGAGTGTCAAACCCTTTAAAAGTGCTATGGCTGGCATAAGGGGAGGTAGGAACTCACCACTGCTGGTTGGAGTATAAACTGCCATAACCTTTGTGGAGAGCAATGTGGGCACTGTTAGAATTTTAAATACGCATATCCATCAACATAGCAATTCCATTTCTAGGAATTTATCCAAAAGATACATTCCCACATTGCAAAAGGCTCTGAAAAATGAGAAATTACCTAAAAGTCCATCCATACAGTGAAATACCACAGAACCATTAGAATGGATCCAATTTTAAATGTACAGCACAAAATGCTTTCCAAGATATATGATCCAAGTGAGAACAGCAGCGTATAAAGCAGCGTGTAAAATATACTGCCATATGATAACGTGTTTATATACACCCAGTATAAATCTGGAAATTGACACTGGTAACAGCGATTGCCTCTGGGGAAGGAAATTGCACAGACGGGGAGGGTTTCTTTCTTGTTCTTTATCTTTTTTCTACTAAAAAAACCGAGATAAATTTATATGTACTAACAAACATAGAAAGATGCCCAAGATAAAGAGTTAAGTGGGGGAAAAAAGCACAATGTGATATATATGCATAAGTGTGTGTAGGTAATCAGACATACTAAAAATCTAGACGTGTATGTAAATGCATTCAGAAAGGACCAGAGGACCAGAGGAGTAAAAACCAAATTGCTTACAGTAGTTGCTACCTCAAGGGAAGAGACTACAACAGCAGAGTGGTGGATTCTCCAGGGGGTTTTAGCTTTATCTTTGTTGTTCGACTATTTCAGCAAAGGAATAAAATCATATATTACTTGTATAATTAATTTTTGATAATTTTGATGTATAGCCAGAATTAAGAACCATTATTCTACCAGGCTCTTAATATTCTAAGCACCAAGGCTGTTTCATACACTTTTTATATCACGGGTCCTATTACAGTGCTTTCTACTAATAGTAGTTCCTGCTCTATGATGGACAAAGGGATGAAAGGGATGCCTCCACTTGTACCACCTCTACTACCATCACTGGGCCTCATACCAGTACTTCTTTGCCACCTGACGGGTTCTAAACAACTCTTGAACTTGATGTGCCACTTCCTTCTCCCAAGCCAACACCATCACGCCTGTGGTTTCCTTGTCCAGCCGGTGGCACAGATG